TCAAGCTGGAGGTAGAATCATTGATCAATGCCCTCAGCCTGACAGCAGATACAAACGGGGCTGAGTGGGTCTTGAAAATAATTGTCCAGGAGAAAATACCTCGGGACATATTGAGACAAATAAGTGCTCATTACAATAAAAGCATCTTATCCATGAATGAAATATCTGAAGGTTTAAAGTCAGTAGTTCATCAATTACGAACACATGACAAATTAAAACCACCAAGTAAACCCTCAGAAACCAATAATAGTAAATTACAGAGTACCAAAGGTACTCCAAATCAATCTAGACAATATAATTCAACACCAAAGTGGAACAGTGGCAGTGTGGGCGTATATGCAGTTGGACCCTCCAAGCCTATAGTTACTGTGTCACCCAAGAACGTGACACCAAAGGGTACTGGAAGCTATGGAACATGTTTGTTCTGCAATGAGAAACATTCAATGTACCACTGCCCTAATTTTCCTGATAGTGACGCCCGTGTTAAGCGACTCAAAGATTTGCAACATTGCACGAGGTGCCTCAGGAAACATAACATCAACGACTGTGATACCCAATTACACCCTTGTAATAGGTGTAACAAAGGTCAACACCATGCAGCATTGTGCAGAGACACCAAAACAACGTCTCCAAACCCCAAGGTGGAAGATAGCATTCCCACCACAGTACAGTACTGCAAGGTGCAACCAACAAAGAGTGTCCAATCGGCAAAGTCTAAAGGTAATACGACTTTGCCTACTGCCCAAATTACCATCCTGAATAAGAGGGCCAAGGTCCATACCCGTGGGTTGTTTGACCAAGGATCCCAGAGAACATACATCACTAAAAGGTTGGCAGATGAATTACAATTAAGGCCTGTAGCCCAGATGTCATTCAACATCTCAGGGTTTGTAACAGATGCAGGACCTCAAGTCTACCAGGTGGTACAACCATCAGTACGCTTAGGCAGGTACGTCTGTCGAGTACAAGCCATTGTGGTGGACAAAATACCAGTAGACCTACAAGTTCAAGGTCTGAGAGCAACAGCCAAATTCCTGAGAAATAGAGGAATAAAATTGGCAGATAATATTAAGTCTGATCACCTCACTGACTTCGGTCTCCTTGTTGGGACAGACTATTGCCATCGATTCATCGGTAGCCCTACTAAATATCAGGGTATAACCATGTTAAACTCTGCAGGAGGTAAATTACTCTCAGGCCCAGTATCAAGCCTGAGGAGACCTATGGCTGCAGATAAACAATACCAGTAGAAATCTAAATTTGTCAGCTGATTATATTTCTCCAGTAGCATTATACTAAGGAGATTACAGCTGACTATACCAACAGAGGTTGATGTTAGTATCATCATTTAAAGCTGAAGATGAGTTCATGAGGCCTCAGTGGCAAATCAGTGAACAGTAGCTTAAACAGCTACAAGTCACTGCGACCAATGTCACTGAACCCACTGCAGTCTCAGAACCATACTTTACTTTAATGATGAGCTATTCAATCCTCTGAATCAATTAATTAAATTAAACCCCAATAAATCTGATGACTGATTTGATACATTTATTATTTAATCAAGATGTATTCCATGGGCCTCAGTGTTTATATATCAGTGACCAGTTACCTGAACAAACTTCAAGTTATATCTAATGTCACTGATCTCACTGCAGTCCCTGAATCATACTTGACTGTAGTACTTGATCACATCCAGTCTTCTGGGTTAAATAATATGTAATAAGGCTTGAATATTAGCCTTTCAAGAGTTGACAGGGAAATGAAATCGCATTAGACTTCTAACCCCTGCAACTCTAGTACGGGACATCCGTCCTGCACGAACAGACACACAAATGTGTGATTACTAACTACTGACATCAAATTAATGTAATAATTCGAAGGAGGAGTATCGGTGTTCGTCTGTTCTAAACAGGACTTCGACCCGTGAGCAGCCCCCTGGGGAATTATGTCGGAAAATCCGACACCATTTAATATATCATACAGACAGATAAGAGCTGTGTTGTATAAACAAGTTACCCATAGAAAACGTAACTTGTAGTGGAATTACCATCTAAAGAAAACGGGATATCATCACCACATACTATTATAATTCACCAGCTATTCTGCTGGGAATTATTCTTAAATACATTAGTCTTTGGACTTTACCATCATAAAAACATCTTATATAAATTAACTTAATTATCAATATTAAAGTAGAGTAAATGTGACCCTTCTATCACGTTCTGAAATCTGGACAAAGTAGGCCAGGCGTCAGAGTGGGGAAGGAGGGCAGCTGTTGTTTATACGAGACCAGAGGCTCACACGGGAGCAAATTCGGCTCCTGTTAATTTTACTTGGACGTAGTGTTATGGATACCAAAGGTGTACCATGTGTCAACACGCTGTCAACAAATCAAGTTAAGTGTTCTTTCCGAAACCCATTATTTATCATTAGTGGCCATTAATGTCATTATATAGGGTGACCCGGTTAGATCACATGGAAGCCTCAAACTAAAGGTAATTAAGCCAGGTCTTCATGTTCCATGTACTGTTTTCTCTGATATACTTGTCATATATAGGTATCTGGCTTCACAGCTAGCGCACTTTTGACAGGTCAAGACGAGGATGCAAGATTTTGTGCACCAGTTACTGGGTGATATGGAAGCTACCTCAAAGAGGATAATTTGGTGTCTACACCCTAGTTATACCTGGTGGACTAACCTGCTGTACTATAAGATAAGGAACCTCATCAATGTATGTAGCTATTACTGTAGTTTGATTGGCTGCATATATATAAACTAATAAACCCCCCCTAATGTGTAGAGGATCGATTTGTGAGATTATGAGATTATTGCAGAAATACAGTCCACTTAACATTATACAAATTGCTATCGAAGTATATAAATTAACGTAAATATAAATTCATATAAATTAAATAAATATAAATCTCACAGGTCGGTTCCCACATGTAGGTAGTGATCACGTCTCCCGTGTCGATGTGACGACTTATATTGAATTTTGTAACTAGCTCGTCATGATTGTAACTTGCTTAGCTAAAATGAATTGCGGGGTTCAGTCCTTGACCCTATTATGTGCCTCTGCAAGCCTTTCCTTTACTGCCCATATGACTAACCGCCCTGTGTGTTTGGGCTGTTTAGCATCACGTAGGTAGTTCTTGACATGCTATGTAACCCTGCATATAATGTAGAGAAGCTGTATAAATAATCAGGTACCTTGTTAATCATTGTGTGTCAAACTCCCAAGAGGGAAGCCGCCCAGGTCTGCATTTGGAATTTGTATGTTAAGCTCATGGCTCACCTTTGAGAAAGAACATTGTCACACTCAATGCTATGTCCCGGTGTGTCAGGAGAGAGAGAGTGTTGGTTGGAAGGGGGTGGGGGGTGGGGGGGGGAGGGGTTGGGGTAGGAGCCTGGATATGGGGAGAATGTAATGACTCATTTAACCTCAATTAGGTAACGCGCGCCAAGAAGGGAAGCCGCTCTCGCTCGCTCTCTCGCTTGCTCTCGCTCGCTCTCTCTCTCTCACCCCCCAGGCCTACATTTGGAAATTGTATATTGAGGTCATGGCTCATCTTTGAGAATGAACAATGACACACACTCAATGCTATGAAGAGGTTTGTTACTCAGAGTCCTAGCAAATTATGAGCGAGATTAAAAAAGAATATCTACCTCAGGCTATAAACATTATTTGATATGAATACAAAGAATATATATATATATATATATATATATATATATATATATATATATATATATATATATATATATATATATATATATATATATATATATATATATATATATATATATATATATGTGTGTACTCACCTATATGGTGAGTACACATATATACACACTCATATATACACACATATATACACTACATATATACACACATATATACACACGTGTGTGTGTGTGTGTGTGTGTGTGTGTGTGTGTGTGTGTGTGTGTGTGTGTGTGTGTGTGTGTGTGTGTATAATGTGTTTACCTCGTTTATGGCGGGCTGGGGAAATGTGAAGTGGGGAATTGATGACTGGCAGCTGCATGGGAGGGGAGTGAGGGGCGGGTGGGACACATGACCACACCTTAATGTGTGAGGCGTCAAAGACTACACACCAGTACAGTTCTCCTTTCTTTGTGGTATGTGGGCTCCCTCATGGCCTATGTCTCGCTGCTGCTATGTGGCAGAGTGACCTGTGACAGGAGTGACTATGGTGTGCCGTATTGCTGTCATCAAAAGCAGTCCTCCAGACCTACGGAGTGAGTGTGTGAAATTGATAGGTGATAGATACAGGCTGTCACCTGTCGAGGGGGGAGCTGAGGGGAAGTGGGGTGGGAGGGGAGTACCACATCCGCCCTGGTGCAGCTCCCAACACAACCCGGTTTGACACCTAGAAAAATAATGACCCCACTGTCAAAAACACTAAACCGCAAACAGCTGTTCCCTCCTCATCTTAATTAACTTGCTCTCCTACCCCTTCAGGAGCCTCTCAGGTCGAGGGGAAGCCCCCTCCCCTTTCTCACCCCTCAACATATCCAGCCTATGTTGGGACCCTCCTCCCTTCCCCCTTTACATAGCCTTACTTAGCCTTATCTATTAATCAAACTATTTATCTCTACACACAGGATTAACTCTACGGCGAACACCCATACACATTCCTCTACTCTTATCCACATATTATACTCTTCTCCTATTCTCCTCCTATTCCTTACTCTCCCCACATACCCACATACTCTCCTACCCTCCCCCCCCCCAACATTCCCTACCGCGTAACCAGACACCAGACGCTCACACGCGTCCGGCACGCGCCAAACATCTGAGAAAAATCTCCTACATCACTATGTGGCTACATACCTTTGCACCACCTGGCCAGCTGAGCCTATAGGTGGGCCTAGTAGGCCAGCTGAGCCTATTAGGCCCACCTGGCCAGATGGTGTACACGGTTCTAGTCTCATATTTCACTACTATATATATATAAAACAACACTATAAGACTTACTGTGAAAAATGAAGACTGTAGAGAGTTAGCATGATGGATGAGAGTAATGAAGCAGGAGGGTTGTGAGGCGGCTTCCAGCACAAGACCTGCCAACCACACGGGTTCCAAATGTTCTACAGCAGCTCCTGAAAGTTTGATGAAAAACAAATTTTTTTTATGTATTATTATATTTCATTCCTAATTTTAGACTTCCACTTATTTTTAATTTTAATTCATCACAAGGGTTAATTTGTTTGAGTAGTTGAAGGGCATTTATCAGAGCTAATTGCTAGAATTTTAGGCAATTAGATTAGCATAGCAGCACTATTGACAATTGATACAGTAATTGACGTCTTGTAGGTCTTTAATTCAGTTAACTAACCTGATGAAGGGCACGCGGTGTCGTCTGGCAATAGACGCTTAGGTAGTATTGACTGGGCAAATATTGCCCCTAAACCTGCGAACTGTATTGTTTGAGGTAATACCGCCGCCTGGGATGTGAGTAGTATTGATGCCACAATCACAGCACATCTCATCAATACATCTGATAATGCCATCTCCTTATATACTTCGTTACTGGAAATAAATGTTTAGCATTATCTCTAATGTACATATTTGACCATATTTAATTATTGATTGAGCCGTTATACGTATATAATTACTTTTAATCTTACATTAACTTAATATTCTACGAATTACACCAAAATATTAGTGAAATACATTAACAATATGTAACGTAAAATCTAAAAGACTTATAATCAACTCATCCCCTCCAAAATAGTACTAATAGCAAGTATGGGTCGATCCTACAAAATGGGACTATTGTACTTCAAACCTTTCACATTTTTTACTTTAGGTATATTGAAAATGGACTCTTAAAGAGTGGAAGAGCAGCTATGCAGCCTAACCTAACTTCGCCAGAGGGTAGAAATAGCCTAAGCTACTCTATCCTTTTGAGATGTATTTTATTGTCTCAATAAACGTACTTGAACTTGAACCTAATCTCTTCTAGGCCTAAATAAACAATCCTGGGCCTCATATATGCCATCTTGGGCCTTGTTTAATACATATTTATGTTATAGCAGGCCTGGGATAGTTTAGGTTTGCATGATGCATTTTCGTGCCATATATGAAACTAATCGCACCAAAAGTCTACTTTTTTTGGAGTAACAGTCCATTTTGAACGTTCGACCAGCAGTTGCTTAAGAATAGTATTATAATTTTTGGACGACATGTTGCTTATGATCGATTACAAATATGCACTAGATCTTGTGAGTGCAGACTCATAAGAAACACTATATACTTCAAGAAAAAAGTTCTAAGTATACATACTGTCATCTGGTAAAGAACAGCATAAAGAAGATAATAAATCTGAAATGTAAACAGTGTTTCATATGAAATACCATCTCACTTTAACACTGAAAATTTTTGTTGAGCTGGACCTTGTGTACTACAGTGGAGAGCAGCACCAGTTTGTGTAGCCCACCTGCAGGACCCCACCTCCTCTCCTCCCCCCTCACCCTCCCACCACAAAACAACACTCCTTCATCCATAAAGTGTTTTGTGAGGCCAGATCTCTCAGTAATATTTTCTGTTTATATGAGCTTCTATAAATGGGTTGCTGAAGTGTGTATGGTTGAGTTTGTATGGTAAAGTGTACTTACCTAGTTGTGTTTGCAGGGGTTGAGCGTCGGCTCTTTGGTTCTACCTCTCAACTGTCAGTCAACTGGTGTACAGGTTCCTGAGCCTGTACACCAGGCTCTATCATATCTACACTTGAAACTGTGTATGGAATAAGCCTCCACCACATCACTGCCTAATGCATTCCATTTATTAACTACTCTGACACTAAACAAAAATCTTCCTAATGTGTCTATGGCTCATTTGTGTCCCCTAGAACTTCTGAGTCCTGTGTTAAATAAACTGTCTTTATCTACCCTATCAATTCATTTGAGAATCTTGTATGTGGTGATCATGGCCCCCCTAACTTGTCTGTCTTCCAGCGACGTGAGATTTAATTCCTATAGTCTCTCCTCATAGATCATGCTCCTCAGTTCGGGCATTAGCCTTGTGGCAAAGCTTTGAAACTTCTCCAATTTACTCTTATGGTTGACGAGATATGGATTCCATGCTGGAGCTGCATACTCCAGGATTGGTCTGAAATACGTGGTATACAAGGTTCTGAATGATTCCTTACACAAGTTTCTAAAGGCAGTTCTTATGTTTGCCAACCTGGCACATGCCGATGATGTTATCCTGTTGATATGGGCTTCGGGGGACAAGTCTGGCGTGATATCAACCCCCTGGTCTTTCTATCTCTCTGATTCTAGAAGAATTTAATCTCCTAAATGGTACCTTGCATCTGGCCTCCTTCTTCTTACACCTTTCTTCATTATATTACATTTGCTCGGGTTAAACTCTAACAACTATTTGTTGGACCATTCCTTCAGTTTGTCCATGTCTTCTTAAAGACTCATGCTGCCCTTCTGTGTCTTGAGGTTATCTTGAGATGATTTCGGGTCTTAGCGTCCCCACGGCCCGGTCCTCGACCAGGCCATAACTCTCACAACAGTAACTCTCTGCTTCCTGTTACTTAGGTGCTCCCTTATCCATTGGAACACCCTACCAGTTACTCTTGACTGTTTCTCCAACTTATGCACCAGCCTCTTATGGGGTACTGTGTCATAGGTTTTCCGCCAGTCCAAGGAAATGCAGAATGCCCAACTTTCTCTTTCTTGCTTAATCTTTGTCACCTGATCGTAGAATTCTGTTAAACCAGTGAGGCAAGATTTACCATTCCTGAACCCATGTTGGTGTGGCACGAAGTACCTTCTTTCCAGATGTGATACTAGGTTTTTTCTCAAGACCTTCTCCATCACCTTGCATGGTATAGAAGTTAAGGACACTGACCTGTAGTTCAGTGCCTCTTGCCTGTCACCCATTTTGTATATTGGGACTACATTAGCGGTGTTGCACATTTCTGGTAGGTCTCCCGTCTCCAGTGACCTACTATATACCACGGAGAGTGGCAAGCAAAGTACATCTGCACACTCTTTCAGTACCCATGGTGAGATTCCATCTGAGACAACAGCCTTTCTCAAGTCCAGATCTAACATGTGTCTCTTGACCTCATCTCTAGTAATTTCGAACCCTTCCAAGGCTGCCAGGTTTACTGCCACCTCTCCTAGCTCAGGAACTTCACCTCGTTCTATTGCGAAGACCTCCTGGAATTTTATGTTAAGATCTTAACACACCTCTTCGTCATTCTCTGTGTACCTGTCCCCACTCGTTCTAAGTTTCATCACCCGTTCTTTCGCTGTTGTTTTTCTCCTGATGTGACCGTGTAGCAGTTTTACTTCGGTCTTGGCTTCATTTGCTATATCATTTTCATACTGTATCTCTGGTTTTCTTCTCTCACTGACATACTCATCCCTGGCTCTCTGGTATTGTTGGATATTTCCAACACCGAATACAACACTGTTGTATTCTCATTACTTATTACTAACTATACTAATTATTGTAGTAAGTAAAATTAACAACACGTAGAATTCTCATGTACTAATAATTCCATCTGTACAGTAGGCTAGAATTCTCACGTCACCTGACGCCAGTATTGCGTCAGATTTCCTTACAGTAAACACATTATATCCAATGTATGTGAGAATTAAATTCGATTCTCCATAACTAAGGCATTCTGTATGATAACTAATTGCAGATGAAATTGACCTCCAACTAAAAGCCAAATAGAGCGTTGGAGTCATAGCGTTTATCTCGTAATAAAGCTAACGTCACCAGTGAATGCCATGGGGAGACATTAATTCCTCTCCCTTATATATTTACTACTCTTAAAGTGGTAAATAATAATAATTTCCTCCTCTAAATAATAAACCCGTCCAGTCTTCAACGTTTCAAGCGTAAATGCGAGAAATATTTATGTTCGTGACATAATTTGTTTTATGAACGCGGGACGCGGCGTGGGTTGAGGAGGACCATACTCAGTACACGTGGAGAGCCGCTCAGAGGCAGACCTGCGCATACCGTACTCACAAGGAGACGCCATTGCCGAGCCACTAGGGCAGACGTTATCCATCCTCAGATGAAAGTCGCCACTGTGAGGCGTGAATAACCTTGCAGATAATATCTTCTACTGGTGCTGGTGTCATATAAGGAACTTAATTAACTTGGTTCTGGACTACACGTGACCGGCCAGTGAAGCGCGCCACGATCAAGGATAGGCCTAACAGGAGCCTGGAGACGCGAAGCACGGCAATCTTAAAACTTATACAGTGCCCTTTCAGCTAAGTATATTCCTTTATGTGATGCATCGGGTAAAGAGTTTAGTAATAGCTGGGTGATTGACCGTTATGACGCACGATAACATCTAATAACAGGTGATTAAATTTTGTCACCTATAACTCTCAATTTCTTGAATATAGAGATTCAGTAGTTAAATTAGTTGCTACTGTAAATATTTGTCTTGCAGCACGAGAGAAGAATTCTCCATGCCGCCTTCTCCCATGTTAATCCGCTTCATTCGTCAGCCGACCGAGTCCAGAGAATAAGAGGAACTTCCATGGCTTGTCGAAAGGAATCGTCATTAAGCTAAGACTTTATTTTCCTTCATGATTCTATTGCAATTTCTTATGTACAGAATTCCTCAGGATTAATATGTGGTTTACTGTAACTCTCATTACTATGCTCATAATCTATGTTCCCATTTATGGTAATGATATCAGTTTCAATATAATTTTTATAGGATTAGATTATTATTAATTGAATTAGTGAACGAACCACGCTAATTCCTGGACGTACTTACCTCCAGTAATAACCCCCCAATGTAGGTGTTTGAAGGTTTGATTCATTTAACTATACAGCCCATTAATTATTTCTATGATCATATTCTCTAGTATTTTATCCATAGTTACTGGTTCATCTAGGAATTGTCTAATGATCAGAAATTCTCAGTTTCCCTCTTTACTATAAAAGCGGGTGGTCCTTCGTAATTTAATTTACTACATTAATATTTAAATAATCACAATCAAGCCCCAAATATCCCACAGGTATCTCTCTCTGTTTTCTGGTGTTCTGTTATTTGGGAAGTGTGTATGGTGGATTGTTTATGATGGAGTGTGTATGGTGGAGTGTGTATGGCGGAGTGTGAATGATGGAGTATGAATGGTGGTTGGGTGGTATGATGGTGGGGTGTGTATGGTGGTGTCTGGTGAAGTGTGTATAGTGAAGAGTAATTGGTGGAGTATGTATGAAGTGCATATATGGTTTAGTGCGTGGTGGAGTGAGTATGGTGAAGTGTGTATGATGTAGTATGTATGGAGTGAGAATGGTGGAGTAGTAGTTACTTTGTTTGGGCGAGTACCATGCAATTTACAGTCTGCACCTAGCATGCAGCCTGTTGTGTGTTGATGTTAGATACAGAGGCCACGATGGCAGGTCTGATGTTCACATTGAGGGTACAACGTAAAGTAGCTGAGAACACGTCGCCAGTCGGGCAAAACTAATGTGGCGGAAAAACACACAGGTAATCAGATGTTTGGGGAGCCCTAATAGTTCCTGAGGGAGGCAGGCGCAGGTCTAGGTAGTCAACCAAAGTCGTAGCAGAAGCGCGAGGGCCCCTTCTAAACTCCTGCTCGATTGGGCAAATACGTGAAAAAGCTTCTAGAGACTTTAGGAAGAGCCGGAGCCAGACGCCCAACGCACCCCGAAGGCCCATCAACACCAGCCGGCGCCAGTTACAGTTGGACAACCTGTTCTCTTTATAGCACGTCGCGTTTTGACGTATAATTTACCGAGAAACAAAAACTGATGTACAAGACAATGGTTGCGGCTCGCGAAGTTGACAATGTCCCGTTTTCTGTTCTTGGGTCCTCTGATTGGTTAGGTTAGGGCACTTTAGAGCAACAGTTTTTTTAAGGTTAGGAACGCTAGTGAGGACAGGCACAGTTTATCACCCCCTCTTTCCCCAACGCAGCAACCGTTAAAAGGAAAATCTATCAGACCCCAAATTATTGTCTATGACCCCCAGACAGTAAG